CTAGGTGAAAATATATTTTATTTTCATTACATAGAAGTCGTCCATTTCAAAGAGTAGTATCCCCAATGAGGTGAGAAGGTTCTCGTCGCCATATTTAAGGCCTGAAATTTCATAATTCTACACCTAACAAGTAAGAGGTTCTAGTCGGGAGCTCCCGACTAGGGGATACCCTGAGCCCTCTTCTTCCAACATCAAATATATATATATATATATATATATATATATTATATTTTAGAAGCTATATGTCAAGTTTGGTGACTCTATCTCTTATTATTTACCAAAACAACAGGATATCGATTTTTATCGATTGCTTGGAAACGGAATAAGTTATCGATTATCGGAAACAAACTCGATCTGCGCAGGCCCTAGGAGCACCTACATCTAAAATTTCAAGTGTCTAGCTCTTATAGGTTCTGAAATCCTTGCGTTCATACATACGGACGGACGGACGGACAGACAGACGTACATGGCTAGATCGACTCGGCTATTGATGCTGATCAAGAATATATATACTTTATGGGGTCGGAGATGCTTCCTGCTGCCTGTTACATACATTTGGATTTTGCACAAATACAATATACCCTTATAACCATTTTTAATGGGTTCAGGGTATAAAAATGGATTTGCTATGTGTGTACATGCTACGGAAGCTGGTTACAGGGTATCTTCTAGCCGGCAGTCTCGACAAGAGCACATGTTATAGAGTATTCTGTTTTTGTCCTGAAACGCATACAAGGAGGCATATTCGGCCCCATAATGTATATATATGTATATTGATATAGCCATGTGTCCTTCCGTCTGTTGATCCGGCTGTATCTATTCGAACTAATCTCTTATAAGTGATTCTTTGGTTGCAGGCAGTACATATGTCGGTTCCGGTCAGATCTGACCACTATATCATATACATTCTATACTATAAAAGTAGGTATGGAAAAGTAGGTATGGAAAACACGGCATTTATTAAATTCTAGCGGGTATAGCCCGGCCTTGCCTGTGGCACGTATAATATAAATTTTCCCAAGAAGCTTTGAAAATGATTTTGACACTGATCGGATGGTAAACAAACGATTTTCATATAACCGTTTTCCGCCAATTCAACACTGTTGCGAGTGGAGTTTCCCACATCGCTGAAACACGTATTCACTATATTCCTACGTAGAGATTTGAAAATAATTTTGATGCAAATCGGACACAACTTAAAATTAACCAAAAAATCTTTGAAATGCACTTTCCACCGAAGGACTTTAGATTTTGCGAAAAATGTTAAAAACGTCTCAAATGATTTTTATGTCGATCGTGGATAATAAATTTGAGGGCGAAAGGCCATCCACCAAATCTTTGACACTCATTTCCACCAAGGAGAAATACATTTCTGGAAAAGTGTGAAACACCCCTCAAATGAATTTGAACAAAGATCTTTGAAATTGAGTTTGAGCCCGGTTGGCTAAATAGTTTTATGCAAACGTTTTCCGCGATTTTTCCATAATTGCGGGTGGAATTTTCCGAAACCCCGTTTTAATGTGCACCTTCATCATATAAGATAACTACAGTGAATAGTTAAGCTTCGTAGCTCTTACAGTTTGAGATCTTATATGGCTACTGCTTATTAATATATCTTGACCAAACCCGGAATTTGTAAAGTAAACTTTGATGCATATGGTGAAAACTAAAGTATGATACATAAGAACAAAATCTTATCAATATGACACTATTATACTATATAAAACTATAGAAAGAACCAGGCGATGAGGCGACATGAGTTTTATATAGCAAAATATTCTGTTTTCAAAGATATTTAATCAAACATAACATTTTCAAGCTTCACTATACACATATATGTATGGGTATTATGTCTTACGCGAACATATCCTTACTTCCCGCATTCTTGTAGGGATATGCGTTGTATTCACGCAACCAACTTCTCAGTATATGTATTAATGGGTCACAATAAACATATACACCGTCTAGCAGGTAGTGCGATCATCGAAAACTCGTGTTTATTTATATAGGTATGTATGTGGATAAATCGATATGTCATATTGTTTCCTACTAATTAAAAAGGTCTCAGTCCCCGACTTATCGACCGACCGACCGATCGAGATCGAGAAGAGGTCTTCCTAGAACAACAGTTTTGTTGTGCTGAGTCCCTGCCCTGCCCTACCCTACCCGCCACCACTCTCTCTTTCGAAGAGACGAAATTCACATGCAGAAAGCAGCCAATGGAATACGAACAAACATATGAAAGACATACATACGCACATATTTACACACACACATGCATGCATACTTGAGCATTTCGAAACGTTCGAGAGTATCTCTGTGTGTTTGTGACTCTGCGTAGGGCTATGTGAAGTTCGGGCGGGCATCATATATGTACATACATACATATATACAAGATATGTACCTGGTGAGGTGCGGGCCTCGCAACAGATTGTGATTGTCAGCGTGTGTGCATACGTGAGTGTGTGTGTGTACTCTCAGCAGGGAATAGGGCTAACTATTAGTTCAAGGTAACAAGCGAACCAAAAACCACGACGACGACGACGTCGACGACAAAAACAACAACAGTGGCGGCATAAAACTAATGACACAACAAGTTTCTATTTAGAGACGTGATTGTAGGATATCAACAGGTAGAAAAAAACGAGCGTAACAAAACAAAAAGAAGAGAATACAAAAAATGTTTCGTATTTTCAGCAAATAAACCTATTTATGTATATACACACATATAAACAAACATCAATCTATATGTGTGTGTGTTCAAGTATTTGTGTTTTTGCGTGAATTCGAGGAATTTACGTTATGATTTTCGTGCCGTCAACTTGAAAACCAATCTTTAAGTGTACATATTTAAATACATGTACACATACACATGTATTTATACAAATGCAATACAGTTTTACTTACAGTTTGTTAGGTTGTATATGCGTACTTTCGTAAAGAACGCAAAATATTGCATTTTTCAATTGCCCGACGGTAAAACAGAAGAACTGCACTTATTCCGTAAGTTTTTGGAATATTTCGCTTTGTTTTCGGCTTAACGATTCGACACTGGCCCGAGATTAGAATCGGCGACAATCCTCACTAAAAAATTGGCACTCATTTGATACTTTGCAAATATATACATACATGAACGTGCACTCTGATAAAGATATGTATGTATTCATATACATATATATACATTTAAATGTACATGCATACGTTAATTGTAATATTTAAAGCAATATTGGATATACATTTTTTATGCAAACTTTTATTGCATGCATTATTAATTATTTTATTTTATTTGATTCATTTGCACTTATTACATTTTTTTTATTCTTGTCAACTTTTATTCGTCACACGCACTTGCCGCTACCACATACACACACACAGAGAAACACATACACACAAATATACACAAGCGAATGCAGACGATGACGATCGCGATCGCAAAGCAACACGTTACACATACTAAGGCAGACACATATGTGAACAGATACAGATACAGTCATATGTATGCATCAGTATTTGTTGATTTACATATACATATACATACGCCAGTGATATATGTATCTTAATTTCGTTAAGCAGCATAAATTTGACCCGACGGCGCGATCTTTTCCATATAGAACTTTTTTTCTTGAACAGTATCAGTGTAATATCTATAAAGAGTTACTGATACACAATTTTTGTACCAATTATATTTAAAATGCGGTAAATTTATAATTAAAAACGCTTGAAAATATCACACAACCGCTCTCCAAACCTCGCGCAACAAAAACTGAAAAATTTACACAGCTCCGATGCTTCCGTAACACAACTGAATACTGTTGTTAACAGAAACCGCTGTAGACACATTTCAAAAGGGCACTGTTGCAATAACAGTTCTACTGTTAGTGCTCTACTGAGCATTAAGCAAAACAGCTGTAGCTTGGGAGTAAAGTATCGATAGGTTAAATTTAAAAACGAATATTTCTCGATATCTCCTTACGTTTTTACCGACACGAGTACTAATTTAAGTAGTGGGATTCCTGAAACTGATTTTGATTTGTGAACACTGATTTGGGTTAGAGTGTGCGACACACTCAATTCTGCAAGTGTAACAAATACTTTTCTAGCTTACTTGCAAAATTTTTTATGTTATAGCGGTAATTTCATTATTTGAAAACCTTGTTCTAAATCAGATTTTAACAGGAAAAAACAAACACCTCGTACTTTTTTCCGCAGAGAACAGTCACACAAGCAACCAAAACTAATTCAAATCAGCCTTAAAGATGATTTCATTAAATCTTTACTGTGATCACAAATTCCTTGCTCTCTCTGAGCTGACCGACGAAATCTAAATCAGGAATCCCACTACTTTTGCTCAGATCGGCGAGTTTATTACTCGCTACAAATATAAAAACAGCTGATGCCTGGATGTGTGTTATCGATATACTAATTTGATATACAAATTACGCTTCGATATTATTTAATGCTTCACAGCGGCCTTATCAAAATGACTTACTATTTTAGTGTTTTAATCTAACATTTTGATAGTACTGCTCATTAGCCACGACAAATAATTTCTAAATCTGTATTTTTTTTTTTTTTTGATTGGGGCAGAGGGTACATTCGTTACAGGCTAAAATATATCGCCAGCTGCAGGCGATACATACATACATATGCATAGCTCACATATGCATGTTAGATAAAAACGAGTTGTTTTTTTAATGCTACCAAAGTAGAGTGGCAAGCAATTTAATAAAATAATGCTAAAAATATTTTGTCTGCCTAAAACAGATCCTAATAAATACAACATAAGTAAAGCACGTCTCCGTTAACATTTTATTTAAAACGTTTGAAACCTATCGGATAAAATATACTAGACTAGACGCCAATAATTAAATACCGCTTTCTTTCTTCTATCTGTACTGATGGACCGCTAATCAGCCAGTTAGGAAATAAAGTTTAGTATATATTTAAAACTGCACATTTTATCGTGCGGAAATTAAGTACAGTAGAAATTTTTAAAATTATTTATTTAATTTTCCGAAATAAATCATGTGTTTCTATAAATGTATTAAATAAAAATCAGATACATAGTATAAGATTAACTAGCAAATCTTTATATTGCGTAGTTCGAGGAACACTTCCCTTCCTGGTAGATCGAACATCGCGGGTTGACCATATTTTAAATAAACTTACCTTTGGTTAGGGAAACAATCTCGGGAAGAGGTAAATATTCTAAAAAACAGAAAATACTGTTACGACTTTATTTAAATCATTTTGATTTTTTTAATTTGCGTGGTATAATCAGTTCTACTATCTTAAATCAATCCGTTTACATGGGATTTCAATATTAATAAAAGTTCATCATAAAAAGATAAATTTGTATTGACTTTTTATTAACATACCTTGCTAGATTTAGCTTTAAGCTCAAAGCATACGTCTATTTATCTACCCCAATCAAGAAAAGAAAAATGGTTCTATAAGTTTTACATCTGTAAAGATAAATATATCAATATCAGCTGTTACAAACTGCTTATATTAGGTTATTCCAAAAACCTTACTTTGAAGTAAATGCCTCGCCAAAATTAATCGTCCTCTTAATCCTTCACATTGCCATATACTGTAAAGAGATAAGGGAATGATTAAAATAAAATTACAAGAACTATTTTTAATAATAAATGTAAATAACATCAGAATTGAATAATATTGCGTTGGATTAGGAACAGTTCTCTTCATGTTAGATCGAAGCGAGCTGGGTAAGTTCGTCATCACAGTATAATCGATATTTAATTGTTCTATGTTCCATATATACCAACGAACCTTGAGATAATTGTTGAACGGCTTTGAATATCCATTCTGTATACGGTCATCAGCCTGAAGAAAATGGTAGATTTATTTAATATAACTCGTTTAGTTTAAATGTATAGTTTACTATTGGCTTTTGTATATTAATCAAAAATAATCTTAGCTATTTACATCTCTGTTTAAACAAGCAGCACATTACTAAGTTTAACAAATACATTTAACTTAAATATTTTTGAGTTCTCGTATAGATTTAAGTAAATATTGGAAAACAAACTGACTCCATACTTTGCGATTATAAATATTTTAATTTCAGTGGATTGCTTTTTCATTTATAGTTGAAATGCTGGGGAATCCGTAGATAAATCATCATATTTTCTAGCATTTAAATGTATTCATATCGAGGTAATATGTTTATCGAACCTTTGTAGCAAATGCATCGCCAAAATTAGTTGTCTCTTAATCATTCACATTAAAATTTACTGTAAAGAGATTACAAGTGTATGATTAAAATAAGATTAATTTGTTATTAAAAATTAATACTTATAAAGTTAATAAGATCAGAAGTTAATAATATTGCGTTGGATTAGGAACAGTTCTCTTCATGGTAGATCGAAGCGAGCTGGGTAAGTTTGTCATCACGATATAATCGATATTAAATTGTTTTATATATACAAACGAACCTTGAAGATAATTGATTAACGGCCTGGGATATCCATCAATTAATTTCCTGTACACGGTCATCTGCCTGAAAATTTTTAAATTCATTTAATATTGATCTTTAAAAGTTTAAATGATTGGTTTAGTTTAGATTTCGTATATTATTCATAAATTATAATTCAATCTTAGACATCTCTTCTAACAACCAAGCGGCACATAAATAAGTTTAACAAATACATTTAACTTAAGAAATAAGAATAGATGTTTTTGAGTCCTTGTATACAACAGCTAATTAAATATGTTTTAACTTCTACAATTTAAACATTAAAGAATTGTGCAGATAAGATTAACTAGCTATGAGGAAAAATATGAATTGACTCTGTTCTTTGGTTTTATCAAAATTCTAATTTCAGTGGATTGCTTTTTCATTTATAGTTTAAATGCTGGGGAATCCGTAGATAAATCATCATATTTTCTAGCATTTAAATGTATTCATATAGAGGTAATATGTTTATCGAACCTTTGTAGCAAATGCATCGCCAAAATTAGTTGTCTCTTAATCATTCACATTAAAATTTACTGTAAAGAGATTACAAGTGTATGATTAAAATAAGATTAATTTGTTATTAAAAATTAATACTTATAAAGTTAATAAGATCAGAAGTTAATAATATTGCGTTGGATTAGGAACAGTTCTCTTCATGGTAGATCGAAGCGAGCTGGGTAAGTTTGTCATCACAATATAATCGATATTAAATTGTTTTATATATACAAACGAACCTTGAAGATAATTGTTTAACGGCCTGGGATATCCATCAATTAATTTCCTGTACACGGTCATCTGCCTGAAAATTTTTAAATTCATTTAATATTGATCTTTAAAAGTTTAAATGATTGGTTTAGTTTAGATTTCGTATATTATTCATAAATTATAATTCAATCTTAGACATCTCTTCTAACAACCAAGCGGCACATAAATAAGTTTAACAAATACATTTAACTTAAGAAATAAGAATAGATGTTTTTGAGTCCTTGTATACAACAGCTAATTAAATATGTTTTAACTTCTACAATTTAAACATTAAAGAATTGTGCAGATAAGATTAACTAGCTATGAGGAAAAATATGAATTGACTCTGTTCTTTGGTTTTATCAAAATTCTAATTTCAGTGGATTGCTTTTTCATTTATAGTTTAAATGCTGGGGAATCCGTAGATAAATCATCATATTTTCTAGCATTTAAATGTATTCATATAGAGGTAATATGTTTATCGAACCTTTGTAGCAAATGCATCGCCAAAATTAGTTGTCTCTTAATCATTCACATTAAAATTTACTGTAAAGAGATTACAAGTGTATAATTAAAATAAGATTAATTTGTTATTAAAAATTAATACTTATAAAGTAAATAAGATCAGAAGTTAATAATATTGCGTTGGATTAGGAACAGTTCTCTTCATGGTAGATCGAAGCGAGCTGGGTAAGTTTGTCATCACGATATAATCGATATTAAATTGTTTTATATATACAAACGAACCTTGAAGATAATTATTTTCCGGCCTGGGATATCCATAATTCAATTTCCCGGATACGGAAGGCATCATTTTTTTTTTCATAACTGACCACTTTTTATCTTACTGTTTCTTTTAAAATTGAATTGACGATCATCTTCGGAGCTTAGAGCCAGGAAAAAAAACCATTCAAATGTTATTCTGAAACGATAGAAAACCATGAATTAATTTAAATAAAGAAGATTTTTGCTCCATTAGTATTGTTTGAATAAGTTCAGTTGCAAAGGTGTAATTTTCATCAATTACATTGTTCAAGAGTAGCAAATAATAAAAGTTCATCATTAAATTGTATAATTATTTACATATTATATCAGCTTACCATTTTTTTTTTATTTTCTGCTGCACTTCGGGAATTCCTGCAAGTAATAAAAATACATATTTATATAAACATATATTGGCATTTTATCAACAAAATAAAAAATGTTCATTTGGCACTCAGCTTGATTTTTTTTTCAACAAAGTTGTCAGAGACGAAAAATAAAACATCATTGAATATCAAACGCAATCATATCAAAATATTACTCACCGTTTGTTTTTGGTCTGAAGGATGTGCATGGTTCCTGTAAAGAGAAAGAAACATAATACCCCGAGAATACCCACCAAACCAGTATAATGTAAAATATTACTTTTTTATATTTATTTTGTTGTTTATATTGAAAGACAGAGTCTCTGAATGCAACTGTTTTCCATGTATGCGCACTTTGTCCAAATCAAGCTTAAACAGCTTCCTGTACGGGAGGCTCGTAGCCCTCGGGGCGATCAATTACGGCTCCCTCGGCGGAAACGACAGCCTCTGTGGTCTTGCCGCCTCCATCGCCATGGAGCTCCAGTAGTTTGGACACATCGAAACGCGGCTTCTTGAGTACTTTCACCTTGCGAATGTACACATCGTGCAATGGATAGATACGCTGACAACTCTTCTCAATATCCTTGGCAATAGAATCCAAAGCCAGCTTGTTAACCAACTGCTTCAGATCAGCGCCGCTGACCTCATTGGTAATGATGTCCGTCATGCGGGCGCGTATCTTACGGACCTGCGACTGCTGGGCATAGCATGTCTTCCGCTGCGATTGCTGGTCCTTGGACGTAAATCCAATGCAGAAGACGCGCAAGAGGTATCCATCGACGGTCTTAGCCTCCACGATCGCCTCGATGAGAGTTTGCCATTTCTTGACCATCGATCTGTTTGTGAGAGGCGCACACGATGTAACACACTCACATAGGCCGCACACACATATATTCACATACATGTGCATATGTATGTATAAACACATGGCTGCGTCAAAGAAAATTTTAACGCACTCACCTGTACTTGTCTGTGGTCAAATCCATGCCGTGGAAATTGCAGAGCACGTTGCGATCCTGCACATCTTCAGCAATCAGACGGAATTTGCGGAATGAGCGCTCGGGGTCAATATCTTTTTGCAAGTCGGCTAGCGATACTTCAAAGACACGACCTTTAAGGTAGTCAGAGGCAATTCTTTGGCCCTGAGTGCGGTTCACGAGGGTTTTGCCAATCTGCCTGGTTTGAAACATATTCGGTGCTTTAACATCGTACCAATCCTTGCGAGAGAATGGATCGACCACCTTCTTTTTGCCACCTTTTTTGCCGCCTTTCGAGAGACCCTTATTTTTGCCGACCGCCATCGTAAACGCTTAAACCGGAAAAGGTCGAATCACGTTGAGTAAGCTGTCAAATGAAGGAAACTGTTAGCAGTGTTGACAAATGCCTGAAAACTGCCAGCAGGGTTGCCTTACACCAAACGATTTTCGATAAATGCAAGACTAATACGGGATGCTTAAAATAAAAAACAGTAAACAGCAAAACATGTTTTTATTCATGACAAATTATAATTATATAATTTATTACTGGTGTATCGTTAACTAAACCAGTTTGTATCTGGAGGGCACATAGCTTGCTTTCGCAGACCGAAATATCTTAAGTATATTATATAAATACTTAAACAAAGATACCGAATATTAAATATTAAGAATCTCTCACAAATATTATCTGTTGTGGATAAGTGGCTTAATAATTTCACAGCGGAAAAGCCGCGGATAGATGCTATAAATTTTGACAGTTAAAAAATGTTTTAAATATTACATAATATTGATAAAAATAAATTTGAATAATGTATGCTGCAGCAAGCAAATATAATAAACAAATATCGCACAAAACAAAGTTTTTCAATCAAAGTTTTTTTCTGTAAGAAAATTTGAGGTTATAATATACTCATATGAATAACAACTAGAACACTCATTAAGAACATTATTATAAAATTTATAACTATTTGAAGATCCTAATATATACATTTTGCTTATAAATAAATATATTATTTATTTATACATATAATTGTCAATGGATATATATCGTTTATTTGTTTTGATATAAAAATTAAAATATATCGTTTATTTGTTTTGAGATAATAAATTAAATATGATATACATAAAATATCAATTATTATAATAAAAGGAAACGATGTATTTTCCATCGTCATTCATTAAGTCTGCAGTGTATAGACGATTTATTGCATTGAAGTTTGGTATTTCACTGTTTGCAGCACTTGGTCACATCGTCAGTTATTCATCGCATCCATTTTTGTTCTGCTTAGTTCCTTTTAAATTATTTTTGTAATCCAAAAAGCTTCTAATTGTTTTTCTCATAAACAATATTTTACAAAATTTTGTTTTATTTAGTGCTAGCACACAAAATATAATTTAAGCATCCGTTCCAAAAGAAAAGAACATTGCTCACACGTCTTTATTGTTATACGGATACGGCTCTAGCATCGGGCATCGGGCACGGGCTTCATGAAAACTATTTCATTGCCTATGGATGGATTCTACGCTTAACTCTTGATCTCAAAATAAATAACTTTACATATGTGTATGTGACGGCAAATCAAGTGTACAAATTTACTAGGAAATCGTACTGTAAGCGTGAAATTAATTGAAATCTAGCTCTGCGTCTGAGTTCAACCGAACTCTCGCTCGGAAAGTCTCCTAAAAAGTAACTTCATTATCCTCTTCATAACATATGTGAATAATTTGCATACATCATAAACACACACAACTTTGTATGTAGCATATTTTGGCATAACCTGCAATGTACAATAATTAAAACAGTAATGGATCCAAATAACTTTGCCTATGAACATTATGGGATATTGGTTCAAAACGATGAGGAAGAAATTCCCAAGTCCGATGAGCTTCGCACTCTAAATGTGCAAAATATAAGTAACAGTAAGTATATAAATATCTATAGTTGAATAGACAATGTCACAAATTATTTCTTTTAAAAACTCTGCTCCCGAGGGTCAACAGTGCACGCCCCAGCGTGCAGACGTTATTTTGTAATTATGTTACATAGAGACACGGCTATTAATTGCAGATAAAAATGGCTTATATAACTGCATTATGCGTTTTGTCAGTTTTAGGCTCAGAGGACATTGGTCAGAGCGCCAGGATGGTCCTTGTTTCACAGAATGACTCATATGCTCAGGTGGAAGCACATAATAGCATAAACATTGATGGTAAATCATTGCTGAAGACGGCAAAAAATATTTGCCTATCAACTAAAATGTAAGTAATAGTTCAAGAACTTGGCTTTTATTTTAAAAATTAATCAACTTTTGCAGGCAAGCTCAAAAAACAAACGGCAACAACTTGGAACTGCAAACGACGAATCAATTTATCGAGGAATCTGAAAAAGACGTTACACAAGACCTGGTGAATTGCATGCAGCAGTTGCGTCAGCACGAGAGCGCTAAAGAGCCTTCTAATGATTCGGAAGCTATGGACAGAAAAAACATTTCATTGATGACGGCAAATGGAAAGTCCAGACGATGGGAGCAAAAATTAGTTCAAATCAAAACAATGGAGGGGGAGTTTAGTGTAACTATGTGGGCTTCTGGGACATCGGACGATGAGTATTCCAGTTCTGATCAAAATGCAGAGGACGTCGACTATTTGAATGAAAATGAAAATGCCCATCAAAACGCGGTATCAAACAAGCCATTGAGCCCAGAACAGATTAAGAAAAATGACACAGTATTACATCAGCAACAGTTGTTTTTCCAGCAACAGCAAGAACAATTCCTTCAACTTCAGCCTCATATGATTGTTCCATTAACTGGGACAACTGGCTCAACGGATAAGGCCAACAGCAACTGCAACAGCAACTCTAAAAGAAATTTAAATTGCGAAACGCACACATCGACATTTGCAGTTCTGTCGCAAGGATGTCGGCTTATCAACGAAGAATCGCTTCTGACCGCGGAGAATCAATCATTAGTGCCAAATGACATTGATTGTGATATAATGAACGAGGTAGCTGCAACAGGATCGGTACCCTTTAGTGTGGTTCGTCAAGGTAGCTCTTTTAGACAATGTTTTGGTATCTAGGCTCTTGATAAAATCACTCGTGTAATACGATTATTTCGTTTTATTTATAGCAGCGCCATCAACTGACATTGTGGCAAATGGTACCGATGCATCCGATTTTTCGCAGTTTGCCAACGATAAAAAGATTGCTTGCCCTCATAAAGGATGTCATAAATACTTTCGAGACTCGTCCGCAATGCGTAAGCACTTGCATACACACGGTCCCCGTGTTCACGTCTGTGCAGAATGTGGAAAGGCATTTGTAGAAAGCTCTAAACTAAAGAGGCATCAGCTAGTACACACTGGCGAAAAGCCATTTCAATGTACTTTTGAAGGCTGCGGGAAACGATTTTCGCTAGACTTTAATTTGAGGTAAAATTCAAAACCTTTCTAAATATCGAAGCGTCTTATGTATCGTACGTTTCAATAAATACAGAACACATGTGAGAATACATACTGGAGACAGGCCGTTTGTGTGCCCGTTCGATGCATGCAATAAAAAGTTCGCTCAGTCTACAAATTTAAAATCACATATTTTAACACATGCGAAAGCGAAGTAAGTAAGCCCATTTCCAAATACTATTGTTGCAATGCTAATCTATGATTTCAGGCGAAATACAGGTAATCCGCGCCATACCACTTGCCCCAGCAACGAACCTCTAAGTCCCAGTGGGGAAAGTTCTACAAATTTAATAAAAGTAGAACTGCGTGATACAACTATGTCAGATACCCATGCCCCTTTTGTAATGTATGCCGACTAAAATGTTAGTTTATTTAAATAACTCAACCCTTGGATTAGCGTAATGTAAGAATATATTATATATTTAACAAAAAATAACAAAACATAGTATGTATATGTGTAGCTACGTACCTAAGTTATTATAAGAAACATTTATTTTATCTAAAAAGAGTGTCATTAAATGGAACGCAAATGAATGTTTTTCCATGTTCTAACGATTTTAAAACATGCTTGTAGTAAATTATTGTCCGTTAATTAGTGTAAATAATGTAAGGTAATTCAGATCAGGTTGTCGACTTTGTTTCTCATCGCCTCCACAACTCGCTCACTTTCCCCGAAAACTACTTTGACTTATTCTCAGTGCCCTCAATGGTCTTATTAATATGTCTGTGTATGTTACTGGATTTTTAAATTTTTGTCAAAATTTTGGTCGCATTTTTGAAGGGTCGAGTATTATGAAATAATGAAAGGGTTGGCTATGTCGATACAAAATTCTTGCATTTTAGTACGTTATCTTTGGTAAGGGTATCTAAGCGTTGATATTTAAGCGTGGAAACTTTTTGAGCCGGCCTGCCCGCACCTTTACAAAACTGTTCACGGATACAAGCGTTTATGTGCCTGTCCGAAGCGTGTTGGACATGAATTTTGGTTTTTGGGATTTCTAGAGTGGGAAATTTTGTTAAGTATTGTTTGGAAAACATATTAAATATTATTTTTTGTACCCAGTTTCCACCCGGGGAATGTTTAATTCTCTCCGTACTATCTTGAACTTGTATTTGAAAATCGATCTCAAACTCGAAATCAATAAATACAAAAATTAGCTCATCTTTTTTTGCCATTATTTCCAAGTAAGTTTATTGTGATTAGGTATTTTTTGTATTAAAATTGAACAAAAAACTCTATTGCATTTCAGCTTGAATTATTTAATCTGCAGTATCGTTCCAAGCCTTTTTATTTGGACAGTCTGCATAATCTTGCTTAAAATGTGAATTTTTATAAAGAAAAGGGGATTGTAGCGTATTAATCGGCAGTGGAGTATTTCTGCATAGTTTAAAATCTGAAAGAATGCATAAATACACATAAATATTTATACTCAAACCTTTTTTATTATATTATATTTACCATGGATATACGCTTGGGAACTTTTAGTTCGTTGAAGCCATTGATCATTGATCCTGCGATTTGGCCGAAAGTAATTCTTTAGTATATTTATCTTATACGTTTCCGGTGTTTCCTTAGCAATTAACTATAAAAAAAAACTAGTGTAAGGCTGATCAGTTATAATAATACAAGTACTTACCGTACTATCTTTAGATTCTGTAGAGTCTGTTTCGTCTAGAGCTCCTAAATAGGTGTCCAATTCCTTGCTTTCAAACACATTTTTTTTCTGAAATCCCACTCTAAGATCGGCAGGAGGTAATTTTAAGTTATTTTCAATGTCTTTGGGTAATTTCCAGGTTTTGAGATCATCATTCCAAAACGAATTCTCCAATATTTGTTCTGGATTCCTAAAAAAAAAAAAAACATTTTAATAATTTATCTAG